AAAATAGAAATGAAAAACGTAAAATGTTTGGCACCTATGAAGTCAAGGGATGGCCCACGCCTGGTAAAAAAACAATGAGGAGTTAAATACAAAGAAAACGAACTGAAAATACAAAAGTAAATGAAACACCATTACCAAAGAAACTGTACTGTATCATGTACACCGTTTATGGCACCAGGGCACATTCAGCAGCCGCCAGCACAGCCGAACCAGACAGATGTCGAGGCGGGTTCCGACGGTGACCACGTAGACTGGCAACCATTGCTCGAACAAGGCAAAAGGAGATCTTCGCCCGTACAAAAGCCATCATAACCGGGAAAGGTTCACGGCGCTTTTCACACAGCTTGCTGGCAATCCTGGCAAAGAGTGCCGAAGCAGCTTTCCCCTGGCCGCCAGTGGTTGCAAAAACCACGGGTACAAACGAGGAATGCTCCACCTCCAGGATTCGCCGTTCATACTTACGCCTCTTCTCCTGCTCGTGCTTTCTGTAGACAGACGGGAGAGTAAGGTTTCGGTTGGAGGGGACAAAAGGGTTAAACACCCGAACATCAAACATTGTCCTCTCTAACCTACTCCCATGCACTCCACGTGCTGCCACATCAAGACGAGCATGAGCCTCCGTGTTGGCCGACCGGAGAGGGAATGTTTCACCAGAGAGGGGTTCCAACTCTGGCTCCACGCTGACGTCATGCGCAACCTCACGCAACAGATTAGCGGTTAGATCCCGGAGCTCGTTGTGGCGCATCCCAGTGAATCCTCCGATGGCACATGATAGGGCATGGGTGGTGTCGAAGGGCTTTCCACAGGTGCAGTGAGACGGCAACCGGGGAGGGGTCCAGCCGTAGCGCAGACATAGGGCATCCCGGAAGCCAGCCTTGTGGATGGTAAACTGGAACCGGCGAGATGGCCGACTAGTGAGCCAACTGGAGGCACCTTTCTCTGCGGCTAGATCCAGAGTCCGCCTGTGGTCGTCACTCAGGGTATCCCTGAGGGAGGAGAGGGCCATTGCCTGATCTTGGCGATTAGCTGTGCGTTGGGCCGCCTTGGCTGCCTTGGTGGCAGCAACAACTTCCTGGATGGATTCCTCCTGTCGAAGGAGCTGCTCGACTAGAGGTCTGGTGACAGCCGTAGACGTGTCGTACAACATAAATTATCGATGCTTCAACTCGTTATAAGATAATTGAAAATCTCCAACATAACTCTTCCTTGGATGCAAAGGATCGTCCATATTCACGAATACACAAACATCATACGCCTCCTCGTTCTGCTTTATCTTACATGTTTTGGCCTTGGTCTTGCATGGTTAATATTATCTTATACTGAGGGTTTGGCACTCCAGGACCTGGGCAAAGGGTCGTTATAACGGATTTTATGTACTAACGGATTATGTTGTAACCGGACCTGTAAACAGTTGTATAGACCACGTTTCGCCACGGGATTTCAGATTTCTATTTACTAACGGGGTTTATGTACTAACCGGACTCGTTATAATGAAGGAGGACCTGTACCCGGAATTGATAGTGCCCAAACGGTGTATTGATGGCCGTTTTCTCGACATCGTTCTTCTGAATACGGATCTGATTGTACCCTGATCTTAAATCGAGCTTCGTGAAATACGTGTTCCCCTGGACTGTGTCAAATAGATCATCCACATTGGGCAGGCAAGCCATATTCTTCACAGTAATTTTGTTAAGATCCCTCCAGTCGCATACCATGCGCAAACTGCCATCTGCCTTTTTTACGAAGAACACGGGTGCGCCATACGGGGACTTACTAGGCTCAACAAAACCCTTTGCGAGTAGTTGCTCCAGTTGCGACTTCAACTCGTCCATTTCCGGCTTGGGGAGACGATAGGCTGGACGTGACGGCGGCGGTGCACCCTCTTCAAGCCGAATCTCATGATCTACTGATCTTTCAGGTGGAAGTGCGTCCGGCAGTTCATCAGGAAAGACATCGGAATACTCACGAAGCAAGTCAGCAACTTCGGGATTGTTAGAGTTGGGGATACTCAGAGGTGGATCAAGACCGGAGTCGTCCTCAGCTGTGACCCATGCTAGGAATCCTTGTTCGCCGTTTCTGAGCGCATGACTAGCCTGACAGCCAGAAATGAACATGTTTTCGATTTGCGAGTCTCCGTCCTTGTCCTGAGAAGGTGCACTTGGCAGGCCATTCCCCTCCACGATTATTTCGTTGGTCCGGAAATTGATTCGTGGGTTGTTCCTAGTCAACCAGGGCTTGCCCAATATTGCGTCGTAGCGGGCGACGGGAAAGACGGTAAACTGCAGTTTCTCCTTGCAGTCGCTGACAACAACATCTATGGCGTTCGTGGTCTCCATAGCGTGTGAGCTCGTTTTTCCATCCGCTAATGTGACTTTCAGTAATTCCGATCCCAACTCTGTTGGCACCTTGTGTCTTCGGACGAACACCTCAGAAATGAAGTCGTGGGTTGATCCACAGTCGATCAACACTGTCGCTGGACGGCCGTACAGTTTGGCTTCCACCCGTAGTAGCTCGTTCTCTCGCGACGACACTGCCGACGTGCGCTTCGCGGCTCTTCTTAACATGTTTTTTGGAATCAACACAACTAGTAGCGCGGCAGGCTCATCTTCTCCGCAATCGACTTCGTCAACCAATAAGTCACTGAAGCGATTCTTCGTGGCGATTGGAGCGGCAGTGGGACAGGGTGGTGCTCTTCTCAGCGCCAGTGATCGCACCGCTGTCACTGGCGTCCAACGTTTGGGTGGTGGTGAACTCGCAGGCAATCTCGGGCTAAATGTCCCTGTTGTCGGCAAGCGAAACATCTGCCAGCACTCATCAAGCGATTACGGTCTTCTGACGACAGTCTGGTTGGTCTTTGGATATTTGGCGATCCTGCAGCTATGCCATCTGGTTGGTGTCGATTCTCTGCCGTTACGGTCAGTGCTCCTTGTATAGCCTTCGACAGTGTTGTCGGATGCTCCTTGAGTACTTCACGCCTCAAATGGCCCCCGAGTCCGTTGACAAACAGCAGGGCGCGCGAGTGTTCGTCTAACTCAGGTGCCTGCAGGCTGAGACGATTAAAGTCAGTGATAAATGATGCAACGGTGTCTCTCTGACGAGCACTAAATAAATTCAACCGATTTTGCTCATTGCTGAAATGCGGGCCATACACACTTTCTAGTGCATCCCTTAGCGTGGGCCAGTTGATGTAGTGTTCCCCAGCCTCCATGTTCGAAATAAGCCATAGGCGGGCATTGCCCACAAGAAAACTCGAGGCATAAGTAACTTCTTCCCCCTGTGTCGCAAATCCTATGGCTTTTATAGCTAAGTCCATGCTAAATACCCACTCCCGAAACAAATCTGCCTCACCGTGAAATGCCGGGGGCTCCTTGACATGGCGCTTGGTAATATTATCGCGAGGGTGTTCTCTGGTGCTTAGCCCTGGGCTGGATGGGACTTAAAATGGTCTCGCAGGAGTTGGAGTGATGGCGGCCACGAGTCGTCGCAACTCTTGTAGAGCCAGGTACGCTGTCACGGCGATGACGGTCAGCAGGAGCGGAAGGCCAGTACTAGTCAGGTCGATGGAAATCATCCTCTCTGCTACTAGTGTAACCGGCTACTGCGGGTTGAGGAAACGAATGATCTTTATTGGTACTGCACAGGGTTATATAATGATGTAAAGGTGTCAACTAGATAGGCGGGATGGTAGGTGATAGGCCGAAGGGCCGTGGATAGAGGGGATAGGAGTGTGAACAGCAGGTAACACTGTTACAACGCGGGTCACTTTTTACGAGTTTGGCATGCACTTCGTTTGACTGTGTGAATGCACAGGCGTTGCAAGTGACTTGTGTCATGTAAACGCGAATTTTTGTACAGGGTGTGAATGCAGCCTTAAAAGCGGTGCAAACTTTTCATGTGTGACCGCGGCCTTAGTGGAGGCCCAACTGTGGAAAGGAGTAGCCTCAGTCAGCATGAGCAAAACGCGACGCAGCTCACCAGATCAAGGTATGGGTCCTCTTCCGGTGCCGAAAGGCAGGCTCACGCCCCTACATGGCTACTTCCCATTGTCTAACCCCCAAGACAATTATGTAGCCGACTGGCCGAAATTAAAGAAAGAAAGCGAGCGGCTCTGGATGAATGACTGCAATGTACTGTCGCGGACATGGAAATCCAGTCGATTGACCAGGGCCGGAGCCCTCAGCGCGTACAGAACGTCGTCGTTGCATGCAGCGCACATGTTATTGTTGAAACGATGCGACCAGCAGCAGCGCGTAATAAAGCATGCCATGGCTGCATGGCCAGCGCCCTGGGGCCGCTAGACGTGCGACCGAATTTCCATGTCCACGACAGTACATGCATGATGATGATGTGTTGTGTAGAGTGCTGCTGTGGATGCCGCCAGCCTTTTTACGCCTTTGCCTTTGGCCTTGAAGTTGAACTGGCTGTAGCTACCATGGAGTAGTAAAATACATACGTATTTTACTGCTCCATGGTAGCTACTGCCTGTAAAAAAAGGATCTCATTTCCTCTGCCCTGCCTTGCTTCTACTACGATCTAGCCCGGCTGTGTACCACGTGACGTGTAAGTGGGTGAACAGACAGGCCGACTGTAGGGTCTATATAATCTTTAGTACAGGCGACATCGCTCACTAGTACTGTTGCATGTGATGACACTTTAACAGCTAGTCCGCCTCTGCTCTGGCGACACAGACTGTCGGCTTCATTTCGGAGTTGGTGTGGGAGCATCAGCAGAAATATCGGCCCGCAATGATTATGTAGACCTAGATATGGATGTACACGAGTAGCACTGTACTTTTGTAGTGTGGAGCAGGCAGTAGAATCTGATGTCATGTTGTACAGTCATGTACATAATCTACGCGTAAATCTACAACTTTTGCCAGATCAGACAGATGAATGAAGCCACAGAGCTCTGGCCGCTGGAGCGTGCAGCGAACGTGTAGAGAGGATCTTGGACTGCTGCACCGTCCGCGCTTCAGATGAATGCGGAATCTTTTTTTTCTTGCCCGTTGCCGTCTGTGGGTGTTCTGGGCGGATGCGTGTTCTGCTTGCGGCCCTTCATATTGTTATTTTCTGGGAGTTCGAGTGACGCTCTGTTGCAATCTGGTTGCGGAAGTGAAGCGCTTTCGTTCGTTACCTGCCCATCGGCAGGTGGCGTTTAGATTTGTGGGACTACCAATCGTCCGGGTCAACGTTACCAGAATAGCAGACGCCGGACAGGAACCACCCGGCCGTTATCGGGAGCAGGTGCTTCTCCCTGGCTTGAAGTCAGGTAAGCATCTCCCATTCAGTCCCCAAGATTTCACTGAGGGCCTGCGCTGAGTTCTAGCAGTACAGCAGCCCTAACCCGTAACGATTTATTGGAAAGGTTTCTGCTGATGTACAGTACTCCGTGTCGTGTGCTCACATTTGTCCGCATGGTGTTGTATTGTTCGTAGTGAAGCGCAGCAACGGCAATTCAAACGCGAAGGTATTTCGGCTGCTGCAATATCCACTCACTCTCAATCCGTGTGTTTTACAAGCAGAGAAAATTAGTCGAATAATTTCGTCAAATTCCAAAGAAAGGACTCCTTCCAATCGGAAACGATGACGTGACCATTGACCAGAAAAACAAAATAGTCAATACATGTACAGTCGACTGTCACTTATCCGACCACTTCGGAAATCAGGCATGTTGGATAACTGAATATGTTGGATAACTGATATCATTTTTTATGTGCATATAATTATGGCTGGATTTCACTGATTTATGTACACAATACCCAAATATAATTATTCATGCATATTCCATGTACACATACATATTAGCATACTTGACCACATCTACTTCAAGTAAATGCATATTACACCGTATAATTATACAAAAAAACAAACAAATTTTTTTTAATTTTTTTTTGAATTTTCCTGTTGAGAGTCATAAAATTACCACTCCCGGGCTTGTCGGATAACCGACGTGCTCGGATAACTGGCGACCAAATGAGTGACATTCGACTGTACATGGTTATGGCTCATGAGTAGGGGTGCGTGGATTATTCCTGGAATAATTTGGGAATACTATCGTCGAGAAAATGTTGGGAATTTTAGGGGAATCCTATCGATCTTTTGCCAGATCCATTGACCTTGAGAAGAGTTTTGGGGGAATTCTGTCAATTTTGACCTGCAGAGAACAAGTGCGCATCCATGGACGCACGTGCATGCACATGCAGCAATCCCCGGACACGACATACTGGAAAAGCCATAATTTTATATTGTATATAACGAAGTACTAACTCTAACGAGTTAACGAGAAGAAATCTGTCGTTAAAATAGAAATCGTTCTACAGAAATCGATACATATACTGTCCTAATGAGCGTTGAGAATGATTGAAAATCGTTACCTTTGGTACACGTAAACGAGTCAATTTTTGGAAATCGTTATAATAAGCGCCTCGTTAGAATAATGGCTTTTACAGTAGTAGCTGTGTACAGTCAGATGTAGATCTAGTACATGTAGTGTAGATCCTGCATGCAGTGATCACGTGCCGGACCGTCCATTTTGCATACTAAAGAGCGTGCGCAAGGCACGATTCATGCTGGGGTTCTTTTTTTTGGGGGGGGGGGGGATTCTGGAGAATTTTTTCGATGTTTTGGGAGAATACTTTCGAAGTTCCGCGGGAAATACCCGAAAGCGTGTCGGTTGCGTGCGAGCATAATCCGCGCACCCCTACTCATGAGTGCACAATTAGTTGTATTCCCGTAGCTATGCAGAAGACGTTACTTCAGTAACGTCTGGCGCTAGCCAGGGTCCACACAGCTTTAATTTGGTGTTTGTTTGTGTGTTTGTGTCACGCCTGGCGCTATCCCGTATCTGTCCCGTACCGTACCGTACCATCAAATACAGCTGGCCACATACAGCTGGCCGCACTATTCAAATAGGGCTTTCAAACGCAAGATCATAACGTGAAGCAACTTGGAAGAATGAGTATGAATGCGAAGTGTATGGGGGAGTAAATGTAGGGCGATAGTGCGAGTTCGAATCCCAGGTAATGCCTTAAAAAAATAGGAGAATCTAAAAATTTATAACATGAGCCAGAGCGCGCTGAAACATGACCACAGTTTTTTTTTTGAAAAAGTCGAGATAATCGCTATTTGAATTCCGCGGCAAAAAACCCAAGTGCAGTGCAACGCGAGTCGCTGTTGTTGTTCTCCTCGGTCGATAAGACTGTTCCGGATGCATTTCTTTGTTGCAAATAAGTTTATTTGTTTGAGTTTGTATTTCATGTTGCGCTGAGTCGCCTAAAACTGATCGTCATGGATGTATCGATGGAAGAGCCTAGTAGTAGTAATGTACTGTGGAGCGGAAGAAGACAACATCCTCGCACTCTATGCGCAAGATAAAATATTTGAGGATTCGGGTCGGAAACAGAAAGAAGACGATGGTGGCTACAGCGACGAGTCATTTGAGGGCGACACTTTCCTCGAGCGTAAAATAATTGATGGTGGTAGTCTCACGATCTGCAGTGACGAGGAATTCTACTCTGATGACAACCTGGCAAGCGATTGGCATCGACACTGACTTGGGAGCCGAGTCGGCCGATGATTTGGCCAGAATGGACATCCGGGACAATGCCAGTGTTGGTTGCAAGTGGAAAAACAATCAATGGACTCCGCTGCTTCTTCAACTTGCTTAAGTCGATAATTTGAACACCCTTATGCGGAACATTGCTAGCACGAGCAGTAGGCAGCGAAAGCAGTACTCTCTGGTGAGCGGAGAAAACCGTGTGCAGATGGGCTTTGGTATGGGGAATATGAGTGCGACGTCGAGTATGTTGAGGAAGACTCTGTGCAGCAGTGTATACTGTATTATCTGAAACTACAGGTGGAGTGTAATGGAGAGGACGTGGAGTGCTGACTTTTTCGGCCATCTACAGATGTTGACCGTGTTTTCGCTGGCGGTTCTCCAGTGGTGCTCCGAACAGGAAGTATTTCGGACACCCAGCTCAGCTGCCTATAGAAATTTTGGATGTGGCCGAGTACCTGTCAGTTCATGCTATAAGACCCTGGACAGAGGAACTGACGGGGAAAGGATGAACCAAGGGATAATATATCAACTGTGTGCAAAAATGACAATCCCATTGCTGTACGTAAAAATTCACCATTTGAACAGTGCCCTATATAATAACATTGTAGCAACACTTAGACATGTCCGATAATCCAAAACTTTCAGACAGCGAACATTAGGTGTGTTTCATCATTTTAGAACAAAAAACTGAAAATCAAATTTTTGGTCTGTGGTCATATTTTAGCGTGCTCTGGCTCACATCCCTATGCTTTTTTTGCCGTCATCAAGGCGGTAGATGGTACCCTCGACCGTACCTGTCCCGTACCTGTTCCGTACCGTACCGTACAATCAAAGACGGCTGGCCACAATGCATATTCAAATAGGGCTTCAGTGTCTGCTCTAGGATTGCAGGACAGCCGGGTACACGTGTACCTGGCGCAACCATTTCAACCGGGTTGGAGCTGGGTACACATATACCTGGTGCTGTCTCACCAGCCGAGTCACATGCTTTAACTGGTTGGTGGGATTATTTTAATTCGCACAATAAATGGGAACTAGGCCAATGATATAAAGGCGAATGGATAAGCCGCATTTAGAAAAGAGAGGACAGGAATTAGAAAATTATGGAAGAAGAAGTATCTGACACATACAGGCCATAATTATAGTCCGTCCTTTCAAAGTTCGAAAGTGTAATGTGTGGGTGTGGCTATACATGGTAGTTGGTAATGTGTGGGTGTGGCTATACATGGTAGTTGGTAATGTGTGGGTGTGGCTATATATGGTAGTTGGTAATGTGTGGGTGTGGCTATACATGGTAGTTGGTAATGTGTGGGTGTGGCTATACATGGTAGTTGGTAATGTGTGGGTGTGGCTATACATGGTAGTTGGTAATGTGTGGGTGTGGCTATACATGGTAGTTGGTAATGTGTGGGTGTGGCTATACATGGTAGTTGGTAATGTGTGGGTGTGGCTATACATGGTGATTGGTAATGTGTGGGTGTGGCTATACATGGTAGTTGGTAATGTGTGGGTGTGGCTATACATGGTAGTTTACCACAGTGAAAACGTGATTGTATTGATATTACATAATAATATTGATTATTATTATATTTTTCAAGGATTATCCAGAACCAAATGGATTCCTATTAAGGGGAGGCTCCTGGGGAAATGAAGTGAAGGTGGCTGATACGAAAGAGGGAGGAAGGGATATGATAAAGTGAAAAATATAAATAATACCAACAGGAACACAGAATACTTTTGATTCAGATTGTGTCTACGCACAGCAACAGTAAATCGGCCAGCGGATGTCAGGCAGCGGATTTCTTCTGGCAGCTTATTCCAGTGTGTGTTGCTGTATTTCAGGTTTTCGTTTGGTGACAACATTGGTGAAGGCTATTGTTACCAATGGAGCAAGAGTCCAGCAAGGAAGAGAGCTCCGGCCGCCAATCACAACAACCTGTTGGTGGCACTGGTGAGGGAAATGATTGCTTTAGCTTATGGAGGAACAAAACTGTGGGACTTGATTTCAAGGGTCATTGCAGAGTCCACTGCTTGTATCAGCATTCATTTGGAGCAAGTCGGAAATATTCATTCGTACGGTTCCATATGAGATGCAGTGAAACTCGGATAAGAGGTACTGCATCGGGAGTGGAAAAACGAACTTAGTAGAGAGCTTTTCAGAGCAAACGTTCGCATGATTTTCTCGTCTGGGCTTGCGAATATTTGTGCGAATGTTCTCGTGAAGTTTGTTTTTCCCTGATTTTCGCTCCAAGAGAAGTACGAGTGTACTTGTGCTTGTTTAAGAAGTCGTATTCGGTAGATCTACAGAGCTTCTCCCGAATGAGAATTTATTTGCTGCGAGTGCCTGCACCCTGAGACAAGAGCCTTTTGACTATGTTGTCGATAGGCGGAGACCCACAGACAACCATGTTGGCCTGTGCCGCAATCCGGCGTATCAACATCTGCAAATCCAAAAAAGCATCACCGACTCTGAGAAAATGAGCAGAGAGGAGATCGGAGATGGTTACGGAGATGAAACAACATGGTTTGCCATATTGGAAAACTAGCACCAGCGGACGAAGCCAAGAGTATATCTACTGGATTGTGAAAGATGAAGCACAACACATTGTATGAGAATGGTTCGCCATTGCACTGCACTGGTCCGCGAAACACCGTTAATTACTGTGGAAGCTTGTTTCGTGTTTCCTTCGACTTTCGCGTTCAAAGCTGAGAACACGCGAACACTCGCACGAAGTTTCGCTTTTCGTGATTTTCGAGCCACCAGTTGTGCAAAACGTCTCTAGTATCTGAGATACTTCTTATCCAAATTGGACTCTTCCTGGACCTTGCAACATGTACGTGATTAGTGACACGAAACCAGGTGGCATTCACTGCAAACAGCCTCCTCAGCACTGTCAATATGCTAAAATACCTGTCAAGTGAACATGTTAAAGTGAACCTGTCAAGTGAACCTGTCAAGTGTAAAGGCAAATCAAAAACACAACACTTAGTACACTCTGTCTGCACCTGCTGAAATGCCCTTCATAGTACTAGTTGTAAATCCTATCATGGTACGTTGTTTCCCAAACACATTTGTATCTAAGCTTGCACGTCTTACCTGGGTATGGTCTAGGTGAGTTCCACTGTAATTTCTTGAAATTTCATGCAAGAGCCTTGAGGCCACAACGTTTGTATGCAACTGTGGCAAGCCATGCATGCAACGTTATACAGCGCGTTGGCAAACGTGGCTTTCTCCGACCTCGTGACTGACGTGAAAACACAGCATGCATACGCAATATGTAGGAGTGTAGCGTTGCAGGATAGTGAGTGAGAAACCCTGGACATGATAACTTGTATTTCTACCATAGTTAACTGACAGAGAGTGTAATAGCCAAGCAGCCAGGCCACATTAATATACACACCCGTTACCACTTCGAGCACACAACAAATTGACACCTAAAACCTGACCATGACACCCAGTGCTCCCTATAAATCACATTATTTCCTTTAGATTCAGGATGCAAGGGCATAAAATACGGAAGAGATTGTTTCACGTCCGTAACCATAGCAACGGCATAGTAACTGTTACATTGGAGACAATTTAGGATGTTTAAAAAAATTATCTATACCACCGGGTTCGGACAAAATGCCTTTCAAACATACAGAAAGGTGCAGTGCAAATAGGAAAGGGGGAAGGAACCATTCTTCTGTATATATGTACATGTACAGGTACGTGTACTATGCTACATGATCATTGATTTGTATTACGAATGGCATGCATGGCATGCCGCCTAGGTTGATAGTTAGGACAACAACAAAGGATTGGAGTCAAATCCTACATAATGAACATCACTGATATGATTTATAATGTCCGTCAAGATATCCAAAACCAAAGAGTAAGCACATGAAGGACACATGAACAGAGACTGAAAGGCAAGGGCTCCGCTGCATTGCAGTGGCATCTTGGCCTTACGCGAGCTTGATGCAAGACGTGCCGTACCGCTGGTCACAAAGAGACTCTTTCCAGGCGTCCAGCGACTTACAAACTTATCCCTTGCTCATTCAGCAGCGAGGAAGGCAACCAACCGCACCTTGCTTTTGCCCACAGACAGAATGTCTGCCCACTCCCAGCCATTTGGCAACACTGTATGCAATGACTCTCGCGCAACTGCATGACAAGTACTCACTGCAGAATAACATAATGATATTCACACCATATACCATTGTGGCACACCGTGACACCAATCATGAATGGCAACATATTTATCGTTGATCAGTTGCCTACTGGGTCGCTCCGTTGCCGAGAAAGTCACCTTTGGGGACTGTGGAATCACCCGCGACACCGGCAACGTTAACATGATAATGCTCATCTTCAACAAAAACAAAACATACAACAGTGCTATGATAACTTACCTCCAGTCACCAGGAACAAATCCAGTGCATTCCGCATATGAATAGAGATTGCACTAGTACATGACTGTACCATGTACACCAGTCGTAGAGTAACAAAACAAGAAAGATGGAAAGATGGAAGTTATCGGGTCTATACCATCAGAGTTTTTTTTTTTTGAAATTGAAAACCCACAAACCTTCAGACATGTGAATGTGCACATGATATACAGCGTACATACGTATGTATCGAGAAGGCAGCACAGAAACGGAATGGTGGTTAGGCCTGGGCAGCTCATCCGACCGTGGGTCTCGGAGTCAACACCGAGCAGATGCACCGGGGGGGGGGGGGGGGGGTGTAGCTTAGGAGAAAAGGGATGGAGCCAGCGTGATCATAGTATGTAATGCATATGCAGAAGTAATATGTAAATATTAAAAACAATAGTGTGGTGGACCTGCGCAGAGGAAAGGCATCATAGACATGATCTACATGTACGTGTATAACATATAAGTGAGCTAGGGCACATCATACACACACACATATGCGCATGTTCAAATAGGAAATCAACCTGATAGGCGTTCGCCTATCAGGTTGGGTAATCCTGAAATAAAGATATTACCGTACTTCCGCGCATATAAAGCCATGGCGTTATATCCGAATATAAGGCCACCCTCACGTATAAAGCCATGGCATTATATCCGAATATAAGGCCACCCTCACGTATAAAGCCATGGCATTATATCCGAATATAAGGCCACCCTCACTTATAAAGCCATGCCGTTATAAGTGAACAAAATTCAATGTGGATGAAGTAGCATCTGGCGTTAAAGGTGAGTTCAATTCTTTCAGTAAACCTACAGCAGCGGTGATTCTCCCTGCATGTACCCGGCCCCACTCACACATGCCATACCGCCACCACACCTTCACACAAGGTTGTATGCCACCTTGTACACAATATGTTTACAATTTGAAATTTCCAGGGAAAATTGAAAGTACATGGATGCTCGACATGAAAGTGCAACGGCACCATACCACTACTCGAAGTTCAAACTCTGCCGTTTTTTGCATGTACGCGTCTCTCACTTTTAGCGCCATGGCGTTAAAACCGAGGCTATTTTCTCCAAATATTTGGTCTAAAACAGCGATGTTTCACCTATAACGCCATGGCTTTATATGCGCGGAAATACGGTAATATTATTAAGGGGCCGTCCGTAAATATCGAACTTTTTTCACCAAACGAATTATTTTAGTTTAGACCCAAGCCCTTCCTCCCTCCCCTCAAAACGTAAACATTGTTGACATACATACATACCATAAGTCGCGGATAAAAGCCGGGTTTGCATACAAGCACATCGCGGATAGAAGCCTGAAAATCAAACGGGTCAAGTGCATATAAGCCTGTCGCGCGTAGAAGCCTGGTTTCTATGCAAGTGCGGATCGGGTAGGTCAAGAGTGCATGCGCGATGTACGGTGCATAGTAAAACTGTCGCCGGTAGTCAGTGGTAGATGTACGCGTGTCGCGCATATCAGTGGTGCAGATGAGCATGGTTTGCATACAAGCCTGGTTTGCATTAAAGCCTGATGCAGAAAGCGGCTTATGTATACAATAAATAAGGAGGCCGAGGGTTTATTGGTCATAAACCCAAGGCCGGAGCATTTATTGTATTTTAGAATCAACCAGTAAAAACTACTGAATCTCCAACAACAAAATTAGTGGACAACTGTTTAATTGTATTTCTATGACAACTCGTGTGCTGAGCGAGTATTTGTTGTCATTGGTTCAATTTCTTTTACTCTTCATAGGCTATCAGATCATTTTCCTTATTCGGTCTATTTATAACCAGTATCCATAATGAGAGTGTGGTCTGTCTCCATGGTTACCGGTGTTCTTTTCATAACTATAGTCACTTCTCCTTGTTAGACATTATCTGGAAGGCCCATTCTTGCATATTCCAACAGCAGCCAAGGGTGCTAGCTCTCTTGGTTATGCGGACTAGGTCCGATCCTAAAAAGGTATTTATAAACTGTTTTTATAAACTGTTTTTATTGGATAGGACATGATTATGTTGAATAAACGAGGTTTGTGTCAATTGGAGATTGACTTGGAGTTTTACGAGTTGATTCTAAATGCTTCTAAACCCGGCTTTTATCCGCGACTTTACGGTATACAACAGCCATGTACATGGATCAATGTTTTCAGAAACGAAATTGGTCAACCCCCTCCCACCCCATAACGAAATTATTTCGTTTTGTGAAAAAAAGTTCGATATTTATGGACGACCCTTAAAGAGAGTATTATCGTACGCTCACATGAACACCACATACCAACCATGTACACACACACACACACACACACACACACACACACACACACACACACACCTGTCCTGTCCTGTTGAGCCACTGCCATGAAGGTTACGTGGGCCCCGGAGGGGCAGCTGAGAGAGAGGAGGAGCACACAGCCCTGTGACGATCCAGGTGATGCGGTAAGCAAAATCGGCGGGAGCAGGCGCAAACACACGTGAAACCCTGACGGTCCTGAACGGTCGGACGACTACAAGTCCGCGAGCAGCGATGACGGG